ATTTGTCTGGTTCATTTTTAATCGCCTTCGCTCCTCTCTAACGCCCCCAAAAATAGATAAACTGAACCCAAAAATCGGAACCCCTCGCGAAATAAAAATATTAATAATTAATTATAAACAAATAAAGAAACTGACAATGACTTCTTTTTAAAAATAACCATTAAAACACGATTATAAAAAAACGTAAGAGTTAACTGTAAAAGTCAGATTTCCGCGAAGCTTTTAGCAATTTTGCTTCTTTGTAAATTGTGCTTTGATTTCGATGTTGGTTTTATCTCAAGGAATTAGAGACAAATTGCAGTGAATTAGATATAAAGTTTCTCGTAAAAAAAGCGGCTTATTAAATTTGAATAAAGGAAAATTATTCAACCAACCGAACGTCAGTGTTTGTGCGTGTGTTTCTGTGTGTGTGTTTGTGTGTTTCTGTGTGTGAGTGTGAGTGTGTGTTTCTGCGCCTGTGTTTCTGTGTGTGTGTGTGTGTGTGTTTGTGAGTGTGTGTGTGTTTGTGTGAGAGAGAGGAGAGAGAGAGGGGGGAGAGATAGAGTGAGTGAGGTTTAACGTATCGTCTGAATGATGGCGTCTCCGACAATGCGTCTCTCTCTCTCTCTCCCCATGGCCCTGACCAACCCGACTCTCCCGCTCTCCCCCCATAGCCCTGACCAACCCCCACTCCGCCGCTCTCCCCCCATAGCCCTGACCAACCCCACTCCCCCGCTCTCTCCCCATAGCCCTGACCAACCCAACTCTCCCGCTCTCCCCCCATAGCCCTGACCAACCCCCACTCCGCCGCTCTCTCCCCATAGCCCTGACCAACCCCACTCCGCCGCTCTCTCCCCATAGCCCTGACCAACCCCTACTCCGCCGCTCTCTCCCCATAGCCCTGACCAACCCCACTCCGCCGCTCTCTCCCCATAGCCCTGACCAACCCCGCTCCCCCGCTCTCTCCCCATAGTCCTGGAAACTTGTCCTCCCCAAATAATGATCTATTTCTCTCTTAAAAGTTGTTGTCAAATCGGCTTCCGTCAGCCTTTCAGTCAATGCATCCAAGATCCCAACAGCTCTCTGTGTGAAAACATTTCTCTTCACCTTTCCTCGGTTTCTTTTAACGACTATTTTAAACTGATGACCTCGGGTTACCATAGACATATAGAATTGTACAGCACAGAAGGAAATGAAGGCATTAGAGACCAACACTAAAAGGATTATTGCATTATTATTAATGATGACGGATATTATTCCCAATGCCATTTTGAGCACAAAGTGAAATTTGAATGTTGAAACACAATTTGCATGAAGAGCCCAGCAATGGGGGTGGAGGCGTGTTCACCTCACGCTTCCTGATGTAAATTCCCGATGACATTCACATTTGCTGCGGGCGGAAAATATGACAGGTTGGTCTGACTTCATCCCCATTAGTCACACATGGGAAGGCTTTTCAGCCCCTCCAGCCTGTTCCACCATTCTATAAGATCGTGGCCGATCTGTACCTTAACTCCAATTACTCCCCTTTGCCCCGTATCCCCTGATCCCCTGACTCGACAAACAGCTCCACACCTCAGTCTGGACAATGCGAATTAATCCACAGCCTTTTGGGGGAGAGAGAGAGACACAGAGTAACGCAGAAACAGTAACACAGAAATAGAGTAACCCAGAAACAGATTAACAGATGCTTCCATATGATATAGAAACAAAGTAACACAGAAACAAAGTAACACAGAAACAATGATATAGAAACAAAGTAACACAGAAAGAGAGAAACACAGTAATATAGAAAGACCACTTGATCCCGTGACTTAACAAATATCTCTCCACCTCAGTCTGGACAATGTGAATGGATCCACAACCTATTGGGAGAGAGAGAGAGAAAGATTCCCACTGGGCTTTGGGTGAGAAACTGCCCCTGATTTCACTCCTAAATGGCCTCCCCCCGCCACCACCCACCAGAGGGAATAGTTTCCCTGTCTACCCTTTCGAATCCCTTTATTACTTTAAACACCTCAACCAGATCAGCCCTCACTCAACCTTCCAAACTCAATGGAATAGAGATCGCGTTTATACAACCAGGCCTCGTAATGGAACCCTTTAAACCCCGGTATCATGCTGGTGATTCGGTGCTGCACCCCCTCCCCACAGAGCCAATATATCCTTCCTGAGGTGCGGGGCCCAAAACTCATCGCAGTCTCCCGATGGGGCCTGACCAAGGCTCTATATAGTTGGAGCATCATTTCCTCTCCTTTATATTCCAGCCCCTGGAAATAAAGGCCAACATCCCATCAGCCGCTTCAATAACGTTGTGTGGCTGTGAGTTGGTTTAGTGATTGTGGACGTGGACACCCAACACTCCACAGTTTCTCACCAGATGAACAGATTGGAGACAGAGTAAAGATCCCTCTGGATTTTGCCATCTTCCTCACCAAAGGCCTCACAGCATTTCACAAAGAATAGCTGTCTAGTGTTAACAAATGCGGAGGCCATTTGGCCTTCACACCCCCCCCCCCCCACACACACACACACACAGCTGTGATGTGAGTGAGCGAGGCCTTGGGGTGGTTGTTGACCAGCAGAGAAACTCCCTTCTATTTTCTCAAAGTTATTGAGGTGTTTTTAAAGTCTGGATTGAGCTGAACCACAAAACGCATGTGATTTCCCAATTGGTGTGTGTGCTGCTCAGCTCAGTGAGATGGCAGAGAGAGTTTCCATTGTTCCTACATTTGACTGTCATTGCATATATTTTGCATGTTTAGAAAAATATCTTCTAGTTCCTTGTTCAGGGGCTGCTGTGTTTTGTGATCTGAGACATATGTGTTTCCTTTCTTTCTCGCCATTCTCTCTATGAATCCCTCCAATCCGGCTTCTGCGCTGCCCACAGTGCCCACAGCACCTTGCCCAACAGCTCTGGTCAAAGTCACTAATGACATTCTGAACATCTGTGATCAGGGCTCCCGCTAAGTCCTTGTCCTCCTCGATCTCTCTGCTGCCTTCGACACTGTCCACCACTCCATCCTCATACACCACCGCTCTTTACTCTTCGCGGACCTGCCCTTGCCTCGTTCGATTCCTATTTTTCTCACCATCGCCACTTTGTTGCCTCTAACGGTGTCTCCTCCATCCCCCGCACTGCCACATATGGGGTCCCCCGGGGCTCTGTCCTTGTCCCCTATTTAATGTCTACATGCTCCCCCTCGGTGACATCATCCGCAGACATGGGTTTAAAATCTATATATATATGCGGATGACACCCAACTCATATCTTTCTACCTCCTAGTACCCTACCGACATGCCCACTCCCTCTGCTCAGCCGGCTCTGGCCTGCTCCATGTCCTCCCACCCATCCCACCATTCTGCCCCCAAGCTCAGGAATTCCATCCCCCAATCACTCCACCTTGCCCCATCCTTAGCCTCCTACAATTCCCACCTCAAAACCCTCCTCTTCGACCATGCCATTGGTCACCCCCCTTCCCCTCCCCTCCCTTCTCGCCACTTGGCCTCAGCTCGGGTCTGAAATGCTGTACATTGTCCAGTGCCTTGGGACGTCCTCCCGACGTGAAAACACTATACAAATGTAATCTTGTTGTTGTTTGGTGCAAAAATAATCTCCATCACTGTCTGTCAATAAGGTCTCTGTGGCAGTGAAATCTGATGCTGATTATACTACTCTGACACACAGTATCACAGAAACAGAGTAACACAGAACCAGAATAACACAGAAACAAAGTAACACAGAAACAGAATAACATAGAAACAAAGTAACACAGAAACAAAGTATACAGAAACAGAATAACATAGAAACAAAGTAACACAGAAACAGAGTATCGTAGAAACAGAGTAACACAGAAACAGAGTATCACAGAAACAGAGTAACACAGAAAGAGAGAAACACAGTAACATAGAACCACAGAAACATAGAAGGATCCCTTGAACCCCTGACTTAACAAACATCTCTCCACCTCAGTCTGGACAATGTCAATTAATCCACAACCTTTTTTGGAGAGAGAGAGAAATTCCCACTGGGCTTTGGGTGAGAAACTGCCCCTGATTTCACTCCTAAATGGCCTGGCTCTGATTTTAAGATGTTGCCCCTTGTTCTGGATTCCCCCTCCACCACCACCCACCAGAGGAAATAGTTTCCCTGTCTCTACCCTTTCGAATCCCTTTATTACTTTAAACACCTCAACCAGATCAGCCCTCACTCAACCTTCCAAACTCAAGGGAATAGAGATCGCGTTTATACAACCAGGCCTCGTAATGGAACCCTTTAAACCCCGGTATCATGCTGGTGATTCTGTGCTGCACCCCCTCCCCACAGAGCCAATATATCCTTCCTGAGGTGCGGGGCCCAAAACTCATCGCAGTCTCCCGATGGGCCTGACCAAGGCTCTATATAGTTGGAGCATCATTTCCTCTCCTTTATATTCCAGCCCCTGGAAATGAAGGCCAACATCCCATCAGCCGCTTCAATAACGTTGTGTGGCTGTGAGCTGGTTTAGTGATTGTGGACGTGGACACTCAAATCCCTTTGCTCCTCCACAATTCTTAGTTTCTCACAATTTAGAAAATATTTTGTTTTATTATTTTCGGATCCACAATGGATGACCTCACACTTCGCCGCATTGAATGTCATCTGCCACTGTTTAGCCCACACACCTTGTTAAACTTCACCAGCGGAGCTGGACTGGTTTCATATTGTACCAAATTCTTCTTTGAATACTTCCCACTGTGGGTCTGTGGGTTTACCCATTAACAGTTCAGGCCAGGTTACTGTAGTTCATTTATTTCTTATCCCTTTGAAGTTTGCCTCGCTTCAATTTAAAATCCCGATTGCGACTCTCCTTCTCCCTCTCAAACCTTATGTCAAATTCAATCATATTATGGTCACTATTTCCAAGATCTTCCCTTATAGTCTGGTTATAAAGAGCCTTTCACATCTGGAGGACGTCCCAAGGCGCAGGACAGTCAGGGATCTGGACCCCAGCTGGGGGTTGGGATCAGGAGCGAGTGGATGGCGAGGAGGGAGGGGAATGAAAAAAAGGCTCTGTGTCGCTCCAGGAAACAATTGCTGATGATTTGCTGAGGAGGAAGCAAACTGCTGGAGTTGGTGTGTATATAGTTGGAGCGCTGTGGTTTCAGAGTTACTGTGGTTGCCGGGTATCTCACAGCCTCCACAGGAGCAGCCACACTGACCCCAGGACGGAGGAGTGACAGGACGTCTGGAGGGTGAGTCTGTGAAGTGACTCCCACAAAATATACAGTCAATTCACTTTAAGGTGTATTCTGATATTGTCCTGATATCCCTCTGTGTAAAAAGAAATGTTTTACCTCTTGTCTCCCTCAGTCTGATCCGGTGATGATTTGAAGTTACTCTATGTCCAAGTTGTTGTTGTTGATGCCTCTGGTTTGGGATTCACTGACCAGTGGAACTTGGTAGATGTCTCTGGTGTTGGCTTGAGAGACACAGACAGGGCTGCGAGTTCAAGCCCACATCGGAGGCTTTGAGCTCCCAGTCTTGGCTGCCGTTCCAGTGATGTTCTGACGGCATTGCTAGTGGTTCTGGTTCTGTCCTTCAGGTGAGGAGTTAGACTGAGCTGCTGTCTGTCTGTTCAGGTGGACACTGAACATCCTGCAGCACAATTGGGAAAGAGAATTTCACCCAATGTCCCGGCCGACAATCCTCCAAATCAATTGCTCGTTCACCTCATGGCTGTGTGTGGGGGGATTTGATTGTATCCAGCGCCTTGGGACGTCCTCCCGACATGAAAGGCGCTTTACACACGCAATGTGTTGTTGTTGTTGTTGTGCAAATTGGTGTTGTGTTTGTCTCAAGTCACTGCACTTGACAGTAAAAACTGAAAATAGTTCTCAGACACTTTATACCTGGAATTACACCTCCATCTCAAGGCAAACCTCATTGCCCACTTTCTGTCATCTCTCTTTCATTCACTGCCACTCTCTCTCTCACTCTCTCTCTCTTTCTGTTTCTCACGTACTTGCTCTCTGTGACTCTTTCACTCTCACAATGTCTCATACTCTCGTTCACTGTCACTCACACTCTCTCTTTCTCACCCTCGGTATCCCTGTCTGTCACTCTCCCTCTCTCTCTCTCTCTCTCTCTCTCTCTCACTCACTCACACTCTTTCTCCCTCTCTGTCGCTCCCTGTCTGTCACACTCTCACCTTCTCTGTCTCTCTCTCCCTCACCCCCTTTCACTCATACGCTCCCTCTCTCCCTCTGTCTCTCTCTCAATCTCACACACTCCCTCTCCCTGTCTCCCTCACTCTTTGTCTCCCTCTTTCTCTCTCTCCCTCTCTCACTGAGTCTCCCTCACACTTGCTTTCTCTCCTTATCTTTCCCTCACCCTCTCTGTCTCCCTCTCTCTCTATCCCAGGCTCTTCCTCTCTCTCACTCTCACTCTCACTCTGTCTCTCACTCTCTCTCACTCACTCACTCACTCACTCACTCATTTCTCTCTCTCTCACTCTCTCTGCCCCTCTGTCTCTCCCTCACCCTCTCAGTCTCTCTCTCACTGTCTCTGTCTCTCCCTCACCCTCTCAGTCTCTCTCTCTCTCTCTGCGTCTCTCCCTCACCCTCTCAGTCTCTCTCTCTCTCACTGTCTCTGTCCCTCCCTCACCCTCTCAGTCTCTGTGCCCAGTAACATCGCCGCTTGTGTTGCAGACGCTGTTGTTGGTCTCCAACCCCCGGGTCACAATGAAGGACCTGTTCCTTCTGCTGTTGGTGCTGGTTCCAGGTCAGTCAACTCCCCCCTCACTGTCATTCCATATTTACCCCCCACACAGCACATCTGTCCCCACACACCCACACAGCACATCTGTCCCCACACAGCACATCTGTCCCATACCCCCACACAGCACATCTGTCCCCACACACCCACACAGTACATCTGTCCCCACACCCCCACACAGCACATAGGTCCCCACACACCCACACAGCACATCTGTCCCCACACACCCACACAGTACATCTGTCCCCACACACCCACACACAGCACATCTGTCCCCACACAACCACACACAGCACATCTGTCCCCACACACCCACACAGTACATCTGTCCCCACACACCCACACACAGCACATCTGTCCCCACACACAGCACATCTGTCCCCACACAGCACATCTGTCCCCACACACCCCCACACAGCACATCTGTCCCCACACCCCCACATAGCACATCTGTCCCCGCACACCCACACAGTACATCTGTCCCCACACACTCACACACAGCACATCTGTCCCCACACACAGCACATCTGTCCTCACACACATCACATCTGTCCCCACACACAGCACAACTGTCCCCACAGCCCCACACCAACACATTTGTCCCCACCCCCACACACACAGCACATCTGCCCCCAACCCCCCCACACAGCACATCTGTCCCCACCCTCACTCAGTCACTCACTCACACAGTCACTCACACAGTCACTCACACACACAGTCACTCACACGCTCACAGTCACTCAAACAGTCACTCAAACAGTCACTCACACAGTCACTCACTTACAGTCACTCACTCACTCACACAGTCACTCACACAATCACTCACACAATCACACACTTACAGTCACTCACTCAGTCACTACAGTCACTCATTCAGCATCACTCACTCACACAGGCACTCACTCACCCTCACTCACACATTCACTCCTCACACAGTGTTTCAACAGTCAACTCAGTCACCCATTCACTCACACAGTTACTCGCTCACACAGTCACTTGCTCACACAGTCACTCGCTCACACAGCCATTCACAGTCACTCACTCACTCACACAGTCACACACTCACACAGTGAGTCACTCACATAGTGAGTCACTCACACAATCGCAGTCACTCACACGGCCACTCACTTACATTCACTCTCATTCAGTCACGACAGTCACTCACTCAGCATCATTGACTCACATAGGCACTCACTCACCCTCTCACACATTCACTCCTCCAACAATGATTCAACACACAGTCGCTCGCTCACACAGTCACTTACTCACTCACACAGTCACTCACACACACACAGTCAATCAGTCACTAAACAATCACTTACACAGTCACTCATTCACCTTCACTCACATGGTCACTCATTCACACAGTCACATAGTCACTCACAGTTGCTCACTCACACACTCACTCACTGCACACTCACTCACACACCCTCACTCACGCAATCACACAGTCACTCACACACACAGTCACTCACACAAATAGTCACTCACACACACAGTCAATCACACACACAGTCACTCACACACACAGTCACTCAACAACAAGAACAACAAGATTGCATTTATAGAGCGCCTTTCACGTCGGGAGGACGTCCAAGGCACTGGACAGTTGGTCGGGACTCGAGCATTGGGGGGAAAATGGTCAGGGTGACGGGAGGGGAAGGAGCGAGGAGGGAAGGGAAGGGAGGGAGTGAGGAGGGAAGGGACGGGAGGGAGGGAGCGAGGAGCGGAGGGAAGGGAGGGAGCGAGGAGGGGAGGGGGAGTGGGGGAGGGGAGTGTGGGGAGGGGGAATGTGCGGTGTGGTGGAGTGGAGGGGGAGTGTGGGCGGAGGGGGAGTGTGGGGGGAGGGGAGTGTGGGGGGAGGGGGAGTGTGCGGTGTGGGGGAGTGCAGTTGATCACCAATTGTCACCGATCCTCACCTTCCCGTCATTTGCTCCAACAAACACGACGACAGATGTTTCCTCCTCTTCGCAGCGGTACAGACCATCCAATCCCCGGACAGAGAGTATCACAGGATCGACACGACCAGAACCTGGACTGAAGCCCAGGAACACTGCCGCAGTCACTACACGGATCTCGTGAGCATCCGGAGCCCAGAGGAGAAGAGGCTCATTGATCCCCTGTTTGTTGGCGGTCAGTGGGTCTGGATCGGGCTGTACAATAATGACCAGACTGAGGTCGGCTGGAAATGGTCAAGTGGAGACAACGTCAACTATAATCACTGGGGATATTGGGAACCGAATGATTACATGTCCGGATCAGTCTGTGTCACTGTGCGCAACAGTGGAGATGGTGATAGTGTTTGGATTGACACTGAATGCCATCTCACATACCATTTCGTCTGTTTCACAGGTAATGAGTGTGTGGCTGACACGACACGTGAGCCCCGCCCCCTCCTGCTGTCACTCACTGGGCTGTCCAGCCATGAGGGGCGGGGCTGGAGGACTGACCCTCATGCCCAGCTCCGCCCCCTCCTGCTGTCACTCACTGGCCTGTCCAGCCATGAGGGGCGGGGCTGGAGGACTGACCCTCATGCCCAGCTCCGCCCCCTCCTGCTGTCACTCACTGGCCTGTCCAGCCATGAGGGGCGGGGCTGGAGGACTGACCCTCATGCTCAGCTCCGCCCCTCCTGCTGTCACTCACTGGGCTGTCCAGCCATGAGGGGCGGGGCTGGAGGACTGACCCTCATGCTCAGCTCCGCCCCTCTTCACAATAACTAAAAGTTTATAAAAATGATAATTTTTTCACCCAATCAGTGACTGTTTGTGGGACGTCGCTGCGCACTATTGGCTGCCGTGTTACGCCCACAAAATACAGTTACTACACTTTGCAGTGTATCCTGTGAAGAGCTTTGGGACGTCTCGAAGACACGAAAAGGCGCTGTGACAAGTGCCAGAATTATTATTATTATTATTATTGCTAATAATATTTTCTCTTCGCAGCTCTGTCCATCCAATCCCCGGACAGAGAGTATCACAGGATCGACACGGCCAGAAACTGGACTGACTTACAGTCACTCACTCACTCACACACAGTCACTCACACAATCACTCACACAATCACACACTTACAGTCACTCACTCAGTCACTACAGTCACTCATTCGGCATCACTCACTCACACAGGCACTCACTCACCCTCACTCACACATTCACTCCTCACACAGTGTTTCAACAGTCAACTCAGTCACCCATTCACTCACACAGTTACTCGCTCACACAGTCACTTGCTCACACAGCCATTCACAGTCACTCACTCACTCACTCACACAGTCACACACTCACACAGTGAGTCATTCACACAGTGAGTCACTCACATAGTGAGTCACTCACACACTCACAGTCACTCACACGGCCACTCACTTACATTCACTCTCATTCAGTCACGACAGTCACTCACTCAGAATCATTGACTCACATAGGCACTCACTCACCCTCTCACACATTCACTCCTCCAACAATGATTCAACACACAGTCGCTCGCTCACACAGTCACTTACTCACTCACACAGTCACTCACACACACACACAGTCAGTCACTAAACAATCACTTACACAGTCACTCATTCACCTTCACTCACACGGTCACTCATTCACACAGTCACATAGTCACTCACAGTTGCTCACTCACACACTCACTCACTGCACACTCACTCACACACCCTCACTCACGCAATCACACAGTCACTCACACACACAGTCACTCACACAAATAGTCACTCACACACACAGTCAATCACACACACAGTCACTCACACACACAGTCACTCAACAACAAGAACAACAAGATTGCATTTATAGAGCGCCTTTCACGTCGGGAGGACGTCCCAAGGCACTGGACAGTTGGGTCGGGACTCGAGCATTGGGGGGAAAATGGTCAGGGTGAGGGAGGGAGGGAAGGAGCGAAGAGGGAAGGGTAGGGAGGGAGTGAGGAGGGAAGGGATGGGAGGGAGCGAGGAGCGGAGGGAAGGGAGGGAGCGAGGAGGGGAGGGAAGGGAGGGAACGAGCAGGGGGTAGAGAGTCAAGAGGGGAGCTGAAGCTCACACACACAGTCACTCACACACACAGTCGCTCACACAATTCACTCACACAGCCACTGACTCATACAGTCACTCACACAGTCACTCATTCACAGTCACTCACAGTCACACACCCAGTTACACATAATCACTCACTCACACAGTCACTCATTCACACAGTCACTCACAATCACTCACTCCCTCACACAGTCACTCACTCATTCCCTCACACAGTCATTCACTGACTCACTCACAGTCACTCACTCACACAATCACTCAGTCACTCACTCACATAGTCACAAAGTCATTCACACATACAGCGGGGAGGGGAGTGTTGTGGGGGGGTGCGGAGTGGGGGAGTGTGTGGGGTGCAGAGTGTGGAGGGAGACTGTGGGACTGGGAGTGTGGGGGCGAGGGGGAGTGTGCGGTGTGGGGAGTGGTGGAGGGGGAGTGTGGGGGAGGGGAGTGTGCGGGGTGGGGGGTGTGGGGCGAAGGGGAGTGTGCGGTGTGGGGGAGGGGGAGGGGGAGTGTGCGGGGAGGGGAGTGTGGGGGGGAGTGTTGGGGGGGGGTGTGTGGGGGTGGGGAGTGTGCGGTGTGGGGAGTGGGGGGGAGGGGGAGTGTGCAGGGAGGGGGAGTGTGGGGGGAGTGTGGGTGGGGGAGTGGGGTGGGAGTGTGGGGGGGGGGAGTGTGGGGTGGAGGGGGAGTGTGGGGGGGGGGAGTGGGGGAGGGGAGTGTGGGGAGGGGAGTGTGGGGGAGGGGAGTGTGAGGGAGGGGAGTGTGGGGGGAGGGGAGTGTGGGGGAGGGAGTGTGGGGGGAGGGGGAGTGTGGGGGGAGGTGGGGGGGAGTGGGGGGAGGGGGAGTGTGGGGGAGGGGAGTGTGGGGGAGGGGGAGTGTGGGGGAGGGGAGTGTGGGGGAGGGGGAGTGTGCGGTGTGGGGGAGTGCAGTTGATCACCAATTGTCACGATCCTCACCTTCCCGTCATTTGCTCCAACAAACACGACGACAGATGTTTCCTCCTCTTCGCAGCGGTACAGACCATCCAATCCCCGGACAGAGAGTATCACAGGATCGACACGACCAGAACCTGGACTGAAGCCCAGGAACACTGCCGCAGTCACTACACGGATCTCGTCAGCATCCGGAGCCCAGAGGAGAAGAGCCTCATTGATCCCCTGTTTGTTGGCGGTCAGTGGGTCTGGATCGGGCTGTACAATAATGACCAGACTGAGGTCGGCTGGAAATGGTCAAGTGGAGACAACGTCAACTATACTCACTGGGGACATAGGGACCCGAATGATTACATGTCCGGATCAGTCTGTGTCACTGTGTACAACAGTGGAGATGGTGGTGGTGTTTGGAATGATGGTGTCTGCGACACCAAACGCCCTTTCCTCTGTTTCACAGGTAATGAGCGTGTGGCTGACATGACAGAGTGATCTCAGCAGCGACTCCCGGGGGCTGTGGGCAGTGGGCGGTGGGTGTGGGCTGTGGGGGGCGGTGGGGGGCGGTGGGTGTGGGCTGTGGTGCGGGCGGTGGCGGTGGTGGGGGCGGTGGGTGTGGGGTTGGGTCACTGATGTTCTGGGACAGTGCAGAGAGAGAGAGCTTTTCTCTGCCTCTGACCTGCGCTGTAACCAACATCGCTGTCCATCAGATGGGAATAACGTACCACAGGACGATCCGGAGGTCGCCCGAGTGTGTGTTTTATTGCTGGTAACTGCAGTGCGTGAATGTGGGGTAAGAGATTAGAACGGTCCCCTGTACAGGGCCCGTAACTCCCACGTGTTTATTTCCAGAGAGAAAGACACCAACAACAGCTCCGTCCACTGCCGCTCCTGAAACCGCCCCATCCACAGCCGCCAGAGACACCTTCACCCCATCACAGAGCCCAGCGACCGAGCCCACCTCCCGCTCAGAGCCAGGTCAGTGTCCATGGGCTGCCCGTCAGGGGCTGTGTTTCTGACGGTGGCTCCGACCAAAGTTCCTCCGCGACTTCAAACCCTCTCGATTCCCGGCAGGTGATACGTTGGGCGAGTTTCCTCGCTCCACACACCTGTTTACGTAGCAGTAAATAGGAACCCGGTTGTTGGTCGATTGGTGGTTTGCTTTTCCAGGGATAATAATACTCTCCACAACTTTTTAAAATAATAACAATAATAATTTGGTCATTGAATCCACGCTGTTTGTGGGAATTGGCTCTGCACAATTCGCTGCCGCATTTTGCGCACAAACTGCACAGTCACTACACTTTACAGTATATCCTGTGAAGCGCTTTGAGACGTGATAAGGCGCTGTGTCAGATGCAAGGCTTATTAATATTAATATCATTATAATTATATGAGCTGATCCCCTTCTGATTGTGGACAACATGAAGGATCATGTAACCTGGTGCTTGGCTGCTGGGCTCTGGGCTTGAAGTAATAACTGGGAGTGTGAGCCGAGACGCCCCGAGTAATGCTTCTCCTGTCTCCACAGATAGACAACCAACACCCTCTCCCCTCCCAGTGAGGCCTTCAACCATCGAGGATCAGGGATTCTGTGATGATAACCCTGGTCAGTGCACTTTGTGTCAGAGCGATTCTCAACCAGTCGACAGCTCTTTACATTGTCTTTGCTGTGTCACCTGGACTCTGCGACCCCAACCCCCCAACCCCACCTCAACCCCACACCAACACCTCATCCAACCGCCCCCCCAATCACCAACCCCCACACCTCACTTCACCCACCTCACCTGACTCCACCCGCCCCCCTCCCCGTTGAGTCAGTGCGACCTCACCCTCTGGAGGTATAACACTGGGGACAGGAGGAGGCCATTCAGCCCTGGAAGCCTTTTCAGACAGTTTGTTAAATTGTGGCAGATCTTTTCATCAGATTCGCCGCCTTTTCTCCACAAACCCCGTTACTTCCCAAATGATTGTCTTACATTTGCGGTGTTGAGTTAAGATGATATCCCACCAATGGCGCTCGCATTCCTCTCTCTGATCAGGGCCAGTGCAACGGGAGCCATAGGATTCTCAGGACTGAGCCATTGTGTGTGTGGGGTGAGGGGGAGGAGGGGATCCTCTCACTTGTTTTCAAATCCCTTCATGCCCTCGCACCTCCCTTCCTCTCCGACCTGCTTACCCCCCTTCCCGTACCAACTGTCTCCGCTCGACTGGCTCCGTCATCCTGTTTGCCCCTCGAGCCCTCCATTCCACTATTGATGGCCGTGCTTTCAGCCAGTGGGCCCCCAAACTTTGGAACACACTTCCTCTATTCATCCCCCTTGTCCCTCCTGCCCCATCTTCAGGTCGTGCCTGAAGACCTTCTTCTTTGACCCGTGCCTACGGTCACCTCCCCCCGGCTCAGCGTTAAGCTCCATCACTGTCGAGCGCTCTGGGACACTGCCCTGCGTAATTGGCGCTGTGTAAATGTGAGTTGTTGTTGTTGTTGTTGTGATTCTCTGACGATGGCCTCGGTTTCGTCTCCGACTCCAGCTGTGGGTCACCAATTGAAGAACCAGTGCCTAAAACTGAGATTAAGAAACTCTTTGTTGTTTAGAATGCCATTTGGTGCCTTTAACTCTCAAGATCACTTACAAGGGAAATCCTCCGACTCCTGAAGAAATTGAGCGATTGGAGGTGTCGCTTTGGGGCCAGGTAAGTCACTGGACCTGAAGTGTTGCTTCGCACCGTGAAAACATGGGCCCCAGCCCTGACCACACACTGAGCTACAGCTTCCTGTAGCCTTCCTCTTGTCGCTGTTTCCAGTCTCAGGTGGACGTCAAAGATCCCACGGGACAGTTGGAAAAGAGAAGGGAGTTTCTCCCTGTGTCCTGGCCAGCAATCCTCCAAATAAAATTGCTTGCTCACTCCTTGTGGGAACTTGTTATGTGCAAATTGGCTGCCGCGTTCAGCCTAGAAAAAACACACTTTACATTAGTTCCTGTGAAGCCCCTTGAGACGTCCAAGCAGCACGAAAGACGCGATAGCAATCGCAAGGACGGTTATTACCATCATATTAAATGGGATTGTCCCTTCACAAACCCACCAACTTTCTGTAAGTCACTGAGGTCTCTCTCTCTGTCCGGCCCGTGCTCCGAGCTGCTCTGATCTCCATGTTAATTGGTTGTTTTATTCAGTTACACGAGAGGCTGAAGAAAGCGTTCCCCAACTTGACTTTCGGGAGAGTGAAGCCCAAGGAACGCTCTGCTGACAAGAATCCCTGAGGGACGAGGGTACCGGGATAAGGAAAGGCCAGCAATGCCTGGGCACAGCTTGTGTCCTGTTCTCTCAGCAGTTGCTGCCTTACCCCTGGCTTTAGAGGGTGTTAGGAATGCTTGTGTTTCTGCCTCGTGTTGTTTGAGGCGATGGTGATGGGTTAACACTTGAGCTCAGCTTTACCCCAATGTTGTGACAAAGGGAGTTATTTTACCGCTTGCTTATTGTAATCCAATAGTTGTGATTTTACGCGTTGTTTTATTGTGCGGCTAAGAAATGAGTAGCGTTATATTTGACTTCCCGAGCGGACACGGGCTTTGCTTCCCGTCATGTGGTTCCTATAATAAGTAGTTTAGAGATAAACGCTCCTCTGACGTGGAGTTTTGAATGGATTGATTGGCATGAGGGGTGACAGCAATAGATGGAGATTGAAGTATGTTTTTTGTTGTTTGAGCCGATGGTGATGGGTCAACATTCTCGCGATCAGCTTTACCCCAACGTTGTGACAAAGAGGGGGTTATTTTGCCACTTGTTTATTGCAATCCAATAGTTGTGGATAATCCGGAGATAAACATGGAAACCGTTCGCGTTGTCACCGTGTGCATTTGTATCACCTCATCTGTAACGTTCCGATTCCCATTAAAGCTTCTTGAACACAAAGTGCGGAGGGAAAGTCGGGCACGTGTTCTGTGAGCTTTGCTGTCGGGTGGTGGGTGGGTCTCCGCTCCCCGTGTCCGGCCAGAGCCGAGGCTGGAGAGGGGAATCTGCACTGACCCCTGACCTGGGAGCGTGGACGGACGCACAGTGTAGGGGGAGCTTCACGGTGTCTCTGATGTCACGGGCTGCCGAGCCAAGCGGTGACGTCACGCCACGGCCGAGTGACGTGTCGCGCTGCCTGGTGACGCGAGGGGCGCGGTGACGTCACGCCGCACACCGTCGCTGAGTGAAGCCGCTTCTCCGCACCGCTGCCTCACGGCGGCTCCTGTTCACTGTTATTGTCTCCTGTGCAAAAGAGGGAGTGAGAGAGACAGAGACTGAGAGTGAGAGATAGAGAGAGAGACTGAGCCTGAGAGGGAGAGAGAGAGTCAGAGAGATAGAGAGAGGGAGAAGAGAGAGGGAGACAGAGACTGAGAGGGAGAGGGAGGGAGAGAGAGGGAGAGGTAGAGGGAGATAGAGAGGGAGAGACAGAGACTGAAAGGGAGAGAGAAGAGAAGAGACGAAGGGAGAGAGAGGGAGAGACTGTGAGGGAGAGAGAGATAGAGACTGAGAGGGAGAGAGACTCAGGGGGAGAGAGAGGAGAAAGAAAAAAGAGACAAACGTTTCAGAGAGATAGAGGGTGAGAGAAAGTGAGATAGAGTGAGGGAGAGATATATATATATAGAGAGAGATAAAGCGAAAGAGAAGAGGAACAAAATTAAAAAGAAGAAATGTAGAGAAGAAAAGCCGGTGACGTGAGAAAGAGAGAGGGAGAGAGAGAAGAGAGGGATGGATGTTTTGTAAATTTAATAAAATAAAGAAGAAACGGAAAACAAAATAAGCCGATGCTGTGAGAGAGAGTGACAGAGAGAGTGAGCGAGTGTGACAGAGAGAGTGAGAGAGTGTGACAGAGAGAGTGAGAGAGTGTGACAGAGAGCCAGTGGAGTTTGGCGAGGGTGGGAGTGATGGGGTCGGGCGAGGGAGGGAGTGATGGGGTCGGGCGAGGGAGGGAGTGATGGGGTCGGGCGAGGGAGGGAGTGATGGGGTCGGGCGAGGGAGGGAGTGATGGGGTCGGGCGAGGGAGGGAGTGATGGGGTCGGGCGAGGGAGGGAGTGATGGGGTCGGGCGAGGGTGGGGGTGATGAGGTCTGTTCTCTCTTTCTCTCTCTGTCCTGTTTTTCCTCCCTCTCTCTGGTCTGGCAGTTTGCCATTTGCCTCTCTCGTTTTTTTTCGCCCTCCATTTCTTCCTTGTGTCCTGGAGGTTTGCGTCTCTCTCCCTGTCCTGGGCTTTTGCCTCTGTCTCTCTCCTCTCCCTCAGGCGTTCTCTCTGTCTCCCAGAGGTTCTCCAGCCTCAGGCCCTGTCATTAAAGCCTCTCTGCTGTCCCTTTCTCCGCAGGTTTGACTTGCATCGCGATGAGTAGCGCGGGGCGGACCCTCAGGGTCTCGTGGTTGCGTCCAGCAGCGGCTGTGAGCATGGCCGACGCGAGCTCGGGGTTCTTTCCTCGCATTTTCCTCCCTGAGCTGTGAGCACGGGTCGGGGTCCTGCGGAAGGAACGGGCGTCGTGGGTTTTATTGTTTTGTCTGTGACCGATCCGGGTGGCGTCATGGTCGCTGGCGGAGAAGGTGTCGCGGGACCGGGTGGACATTTCACTCGAAACAGTTGTTCCCTGTTTCTGCGTCAGAAATAAAACACTCAGCGTGGACCCCAGCCCACGTCGTTCCCCTCGTCTCTCCTTTCCACAGTTGCACCTTCATGCTCCAGTATAAGTGCTGCATTGTCAGATAACAACAACAACAATAATCCTGGCATTTGACCCGGCGCCTGACCACGTTTTCGAGACGTCTCAAAGCGCTTCACAGGATTCACTGTAAAGCGTAGCGACTGTGCGCTTTGTGGGTGGAACGCCAAAGAGACGGAGTTGTGAGTTTACGTGGCCACGTTAACGCGCTCACATCTGCCTTCACATGGGCACCGCTGTACATCTGTGCGCCACGTGGGAAGGGAAAGCACATGCTGGCTGGTTGCCAGCATGAAAGATGGCGTCGGCATGCCTTCCCCCCACCTTTCTGCCATCTTTGATATTGGCAACGCGACTGATTGAGGCACACGACTGACCGGATGTGCGGTGGATGGCGACCAATCAGATGAGGTGGGCGGGCGGGGTCTAAAGATGATTGACGCACAAGGGGACCAATGAAATAAGGTGGAGCGTGTGTGCGCGGGGGGGCCGGTGACGATCTAAGGCAGTCGAATGATTGTTGGAAGGGGGCGGTGCAGCGGGGATGATTGACGCGCAGAAACACCAATCATAGGACGACAGGGTGCGGTTTGAATGTGACTGACGGGCGGCTGGTCCAATGGAAGCGCGAGGCACGTGGTGCGGATTAGGCTCCGCCTTTTCCAACTGCCTTTCCTTGTCGTCGGCGCCATTTTGTGTCTGAGGCAGTGATTGAGGGAAAGAGAGAGAGAGAGAAGAGGAAGGGAAGGAGAGAAAAGGAAAAGAAGCCGGTGACGTGAGAGAGTGTGAGTGTGTGAGAGAGAGAGAGCGAGTGAGAGAGAGTGAGTGAGAGAGAGAGAAAGGAGGGGGTGAAGGAGAAGAAGAGACAACAAAGATGGTGAAAATCTTTGTGGGGAACCTGCCGAGGCCGACCACAGGCGACGAGATCCGCTCCCTGTTCGAGAAATACGGCGAAGTGAGTGAGTGCGACCTGATCAAGGTGAGAGAGTGATTGACAGCCGTTACCATGGGGACAGAGAGTGATTGACAGCCGTTACCATGGGGACAGAGAGTGATTGACAGCCGTTACCATGGGACAGAGAGTGATTGACAGCCGTTACCATGGGGACAGAGAGTGATTGACCGCCGTTACCATGGGGACAGAGAGTGATTGACAGCCGTTACCATGGGGACAGAGAGTGATTGACCGCCGTTACCATGGGGACAGAGTGATTGACCGCCGTTACCATGGGGACATAGAGTGATTGACCGCCGTTACCATGGGGACAGAGAGTGATTGACCGCCGTTACCATGGGGACAGAGAGTGATTGACCGCCGTTACCATGGGGACAGAGAGTGATTGACCGCCGTTACCATGGGGACAGAGAGTGATTGACCGCCGTTACCATGGGGACAGAGAGTGATTGACAGCTGTTACCATGGAGACAGTGAGGGATTGACAGCGCACACCATGCGCACACCATGCGCACACCCCGCCTCCCTGTACATGCACTTGGAACTCAGACAACCGAAGCTGACGTTCCAGCGCAGTACTGGGGGGAAACAGTGAGAGCACCGCATTGTCGTGGAGGCTGTCCTTTGGATGAGACGTTAAACTTCACTCACACCCTCCCTCCCCGTCTGTGCCCCGTACAGGACGGCCGTTAAAGATCCCCTGCGGTGCTGTCGGGAAAAGAGAGGGGACTTTTTCTCCCATTGTCCTGGTCGACAATTCTCCCCCCCAACCCCAGATAAAATCGCTCCCTCCGCAAATATTTGCGGGACGTCCCTGTGCGCAAACTGGTTGCCACTTTACACCCACAAAATACACAGTCACTCCACTTTACAGTATAATAATAATCCTTGCATTTGATACAGTGCCTGTCACGTCTTCGAGACGTCTTAAAGTGCTTCACGGGATATCCTGTATAGTGTAGTGACTATTTTCTTGCCGAAACACCCTGCAATATTAACTGCGAGGATTATTATTATTATTGTTTTCTCCCTGTTTCTGAGCAGAACTATGGCTTTGTCCATATGGACAACAAGGAGGCGGCGAAGGAGGCCATTAAGGCTCTGCACCACTACAACCTGCATGGCGTCTCCATCAACGTGGAGGCCAGCAAGAGCCTCAGCAAATCCTCCACCAAGCTGCACGTGGGCAAAATCAGCTCCTTGTGCACTAGCGAGGAGCTGCGCGCCCGATTCGAGGAGTACGGCTCCGTGCTGGAGTGCGACATCGTCAAGGACTACGCCTTCGTGCACATGGAGCGTGGAGAGGACGCCATGGAGGCCATCAAGGGGCTGGATGGCTCTGAGTTCAAAGGTGTGAGGGACTATGGGATGGAGTTACAGAGGGTGGGAGCAGAGAGGCTGAAGCCCCGACTGCTGATGGTGGGGTGGGCTGGGTGGGGGCGGAGCCCGGTGAGTGGAGGGACCGGACAGGTCGACACACACAGAAATCAGCTGAAGCGTTTAGTGAAAAATCTTGCGAAGACCAGCGGAGCAAGGCGCTGTGTGGAATGTGAGGATTATAATAATCGGGCAGCGCCATAGGGATTGTCAGCAGTGCTGTCGTTACCTGTGTTTCTCTCTCCCCCCCTCTGTGGAATCCGGTAGCTCAGTGGTTAGAGCGTTCGCCTCGCAAGTCAAAGGACCTGGGTTCGATTCCCAGTCAGTTCAGACAAACCGTTGGGCAAGTTTCCTAACTCCACACACAGACATACACACCCACGCCTCTGTTTATCAGCAGAAAGTAGGAACCCGCTTGTTAGTCAATTGTCGAATCGTTTTCGGGAGTAATAATCCCTTCAAAATAATAATAATAATAGTGTGATCACTCAACCCACGACTGTTTGTGGGACGTTGCTGTGCGCAGTTGGCTGCCATGTTTCTCCCATAGTATACATAGTCACTACACTTTACAGTGTATCCTGTGAAGCGCTCTGAGACGTCGCAACAATGTGATAAGGGGCTATGTCAAATGAAAGTTATTATTATTATTTCTCTCTCTCTATCTGTCTCTCAGGGAAGCGGATGCACGTGGAGTTGTCTAAGAGCCGGCTGAGGGTGCAGCCGGGGATGGGAGAGAAGAACACATGTTTCCGGTGCGGGAAGGACGGCCACTGGTCTAAGGAATGTCCCACTGACCGGCGGGCGGAGGACGTGGGTTACCCCGAGTACCTGGATCCCTACTCGATGGCCCCGCGCTATGGGGTTGTTGATTACTACGAGAAGTACCGGGCAGGGGCTTACGGAGCCGTGGGCATCCCCTACCCGGACCCCTGGGCCACCCCGCTAGCCTCCTACAGCAGCACCATGAGAGACCGCATGGGCAAGGCCCTGGACCCCTATGACCGCGATACGTTGGCTCAGACGCAGCCTTACTACAGCCGGGATCGCAGCCCCCTCCGCCGCTCGGCTGCCATGGCCTCCTACAGCAGCAGCTACGGCTACGAGACTGGGGCTCCCCTGGCAGCCTCCTACACAGCCTCCTACACGGCCTCGTACAACGCCTCCTACAGTGCAGCCTATAGCACAGGCTACAACACCTCCTACAGCACAGCCTACAGCACTCCCAGTGTCACCGCAGCTTCAACCTCAACCTCCACCCCCACTGACACCTACGTGGAGACACAGTACTCAGCCTACTGACCCCAGGTGAGGGGCGCTCGCTCGTTAGCTCGCTCACTCACTCACTCACTCACTCACTCATTCGCACGCTCACTCGATCACTGACTCAGTTACTCACTCGCTAGCTCACTGACTCTGCCTCTCGCTCAGTCACTCTCTCGTTCACACACTCGCTCACTCACTCGATCGCACAGTCGTTCGCTCGTTCACTCACTCGTACACTCGCTCACTCCCTCGCACACTATGATATGGGGTAATTGGAGTTGAGGTACAGATCAGCCATGATCTAATAGAATGGTGGAACCGGCTCGAGTGGCTAAATGGTCTCCTCTTGTTCCTATGTTCTGATCTTCAGTGGAGTCCTGTAGTTTTAAGTGGTTAGAGCGCTCGCCTCGCAAGCGAGAGGACCTGGGGTTCGATTCCCAGGCGGGTCAGGGTGAAATGTTAGGCAATTGTCCTTACTTCACAAACACACGCCTCTGTTTGCCCAGCAGTAAGTAGGAACCCAGTTGTTACTCAATTGGCTGATCGTTTTCCGGGGGTAATAAAAAAAATAAGTTGGTCACTCAATCCACAGCTGTTTGTGGGGACATCGCTGGGCGCAATTGGCTGCTGCGTTTCGTCCACAAAATACATAGTCGCCACATTTTACAGTGTATTCTGTGAAGCGCTTTGAGACGTCTTGAAGACGTGATAAGGCGCTGTATCAAATGCAAGGATTATTATTAATATTATTTGGCGCTGGAGGGGCATTGTGGGGGGTAATCTGTGCATATGCTATGTGGGGAGTGTGGATGATAGCCATGGGGAATGTGTATTTATGCCTGTGTATGTTTGTGTGTGTTTATGCCTGTGTGTCTGTATGTATGTGTGGTTCACATGGGGTATGTATGTGTGTGTCTGTGTGTATGCCTTATGCCTCCAGATATAAAAGGCGCTTTACAAATGTAATGTTGTTGTTATTGTTTCTGTATGTATGTGTGGTACACATGGGGAATGTGTCTGTGTGTTTTTGGTATGTTGGTAGTGTGTCTGTGTGAGGTACACTTGTGAAGTGTGTGTGTGTGTAAAGTCCACCTGGGGAGTACGTGTGAGGTATGCGGGAAGCGTGTGTGTGTGAGGTATACTTGGGGAGTGTGTGTGAGGTCCACTTGGGGAATGTGTGTGTGTGTGTGTGAGGAACAACAACTTGGATTTATATAGCGCCCTCCACGCCGGACGGAGTCTCAGAGCTTCACAGTGACGGATCCCGGGGCCGAGCCGGGGGGAGGGGGTGGTAGGTGACCAAAGGCACGGTTGAAAAGAAAAGGGCGGTTCAGCAGAAATCTGAAAAGAGGAAGAGAGGGGGCGAGGCGAAGGCTGTGAGGAAGGGAGTTCCAGAGCCTCGGGGCATAGTGGCTGCAAGCACGGCCGCCGAGGGTGGAGAGGAGGACTCGGGGGACAAGGAGGAGGCCAGACCCGGAGGAACGAAGGCAACTTGGGGAGTGTGTGAATGTGTGAGGTCCACTTGGGGAATGTGTTTGTGTATGAGGTACGTGGGGAGTGTGTGTGAGGTACGTGGGGAGTGTGTGTGTGAGAGGTACGTGGGGAGTATGTGTGCGTGTGAGGTACGGAGCGAGTGTGTGTGAAGTACGTGGGGAGTGTATGTGTGTGTGAGAGAGGTACGTGGGGAGTGTTTATTTCCTCTCTCGATGGCCAAGCTGATATTCCGTCCTCCCTGGGATAAGGGGTGAGAGCGGCGACCGAGGTAAGGCCTGGAGCGCGGTGCAGCTCGCGGTTGGGGGGGGCGGGGGGTGAGCTGACGTGTGTCTCGCTGCTCTTCACCACGACAAAGACCCTCTGTAGCCTCCCCACCAACCCCCTCCCTCCCCCCTCACACCCCTGTCTGTCGCATTCAGTGGCCTGAAGGAGCTGAGCAGACTGATCGCTGGGCGCCCGCCCCACAGATACACACAGAGCCAGACAGACAGACAGTGTGAAGCCTGTGGTCGTGTCAAGGAGAATGGTAACCACAGGGTGTGCTGGCTGAGAGACACACAGGCACACAGACACAGGCACACACATACATACAGACAGGCAGACACACACACAGACAGGCAGACACGCACACACAGACAGGCAGACAAACACACCCACAGGCAGACACACACACACAGACAGGCAGACACACACAGACAGGCAGGCACAGGCAACATACAGTCAGGCAGAGACACACACTGACAAATAGATACACATTCACAGACACACACACAGACAAGCAGACACACAGAGAAACACAGACAGGCACACAGACACACACACACACAGAGGTGGAATGGATGAACCCACTGTTGTCATCGACACCAGAGGATGGTGGTGTCAGGGGTAGTGAGGGCTTGTGGCAAATTACACTCTTTGCCCCCTTGTCCCCATCCCTCCTTCACTGGTGCTTGGGGGAGTGCGAGAGAGAGGAAGCGATCGAGTGGCTGGAATTGCTCATGTGTTGTTGACTTCGGGATTTGCTGGTTAACCAACTACAACCGCACAACTTGCCATTGTTATCGCTGTCTGGCTAAGCTTTCCCGCTGCTTGTCCAGCTTAGGATCACCCTCCCCGTTAGATAGGGCTTTGGCTGCAGGGTTAACAGGAGCTGAGGGGGAGGATTCCCTGCCTCCAATGACTGGTTGGCCCTTCCAGGTCCTGTTGATGATCCAGGCCGGGCTGTGCTGTTATCAGCAGTGAGTGACCTGGAATACTGAGGACCCACCTGGCTCAGGAACCAGACTAGAGACAGTCCCAGAGGCCTGGCTGGATTTCCACACTCCATTGCCAGACATGTCACGTTGGGGCCATGTTAACTCTGAGGAGACCCCACTGACTTCTGCTTTATCCTGTCCCCCTCATGGATAGTCAGTCACTGCGCCCCGAAACTCAGGAACACTTCCCTCACTCCTCCTGCCTCGCCCCTCCTTCCGTTCCCATCTTCAGGTCACGCCTGAAGATCTTCCTCTTTGACCGATCACCCCCCCCGGCTCAGAGTTGTGCTCCGTCACTGTCTGCCCTGCGTGAGGGACGCTGTGTAAGTGCAAGTTGTTGATGAGGGGGTGACAGCATTTATCAGGAGCTTCCGAGCCTTTTTGGGAGGTGGCCTGGGTGTGCGGCCTCTCATTGCTGGGGAGGGGGTATGTGAAAGGCCAGTGTGTGCCCCCCTCTCTCTCTCCCTCCCCCCCCCCACACCCACCGCCCCCCGCCCTGCCCTCCTGCTCGCTGGCTGCTGTGAGCATGTTGACGATGTCTTTTCTTTCACAGGTGCTAATTCCCACCACAGTCTCGCGGGTTGCCGGCTCCGTCCGTTCACTGCTCGGGTCTTAACGGCGACGGGAAATAGCGCGGAGGACATCGCTCGCGGCAGCTTCTCTTTGTATTGTGCCCCCTTTTATCCCTCCCTCTCTCCCCTCCCTCTCTTTTCTCTCCCTCTACCTCCCCCACCCACCACCGCGCCCAGTCTGGACCCACCTCCCCTCCCCCCTGCCTGGAGCACGTGATGTTTATATATAACTATGTTTCTGGTTTGGTAGCTAATGTGTCCGGCCTCCAGCCTGTCCACAGGGTAGAGAGATTGTCACCGTGTAGAGAACCTGCAATAAAAACTATTCTACCTGACGACCCGAGTCTTCCTTTACATCAACTCTGCTCTCTGTCTGTCTGTCTCTCACTGTCCATTAGTGGGTGTCTGTCTGTCTGTCAGTCTGTTGCTCTCTCCATCAGTGTGGGTATGTCTCTCTGTGCATGTGTGTGTGTCTCTGACATTATTGGGCTGAGTAACTGGGCTATTATTGGGCTGAGTAACTGGGCTATTATTGGGCTGAGTAACTGGGCTATTATTGGGCTGAGTAACTGGGCTATTGTTGGGCTATGGGTTGGTTATTGGGCGGGTCGTTGGGCTATTGGGCTATTATTGGGGTTGGTAACCTGGTCAGTGAGTTACTGTCATTAACTTCCGGTTTGAGGGGAATTTATGCACTTCCGGAAGCCACCGGAACCGGAAATAGAAGCCGTGAAGCTGGTGGAGGTGAGAGAAAGAGAGGGGGACAGAGAGAGAGAGAGAGGAGGGCGGGGGGGCAGAGAGAGAGGGGGATAGAGAGAGGGAGGGATAGAGAGAGAGAGGGGGGGATAGAGAGGGATAGAGAGAGAGAGGAACAGAGAGAGAGGGATAGAGAGAGAGAGAGGGGGGACAGAGAGAGCGAAGGATAGTGAGAGAGAGAGGGATAGAGAGAGAGAGGGTTAGAGAGAGAGAGAGGGGGGCAGAGAGAGAGGGGACAGAGAGAGGGAGAGGGGGGGGACAGAGAGGGATAGAGAGAGAGAGGGGGGGATAGTGAGGGATAGAGAGAGAGACAGAGGGGGGATAGAGAGGAATATATATATAGAGAGAGAGGCAGAGTTTATTACAGCCACTGACCAGAGAGAGGGAGAGACAGAGACTATTACAGAAAGATAGAGAGAGAAGTAACCAGGTCAGTAGTTAAGACCCGAGCAGTGAACGGACGGAGCCGGCAACCCGCGAGACTGTGGTGGGAATTAGCACCTGTGAAAGAAAAGACATCGTCAACATGCTCACAGCAGCCAGCGAGCAGGAGGGCAGGGCGGGGGGCGGTGGGTGTGGGGGGGGGGAGGAGAGAGAGGGGGGCACACACTGGCCTTTCACATACCCCCTCCCCAGCAATGAGAGGCCGCACACCCAGGCCACCTCCCAAAAAGGCTCGGAAGCTCCTGATAAATGCTGTCACCCCCTCATCAACAACTTGCACTTACACAGCGTCCCTCACGCAGGGCAGACAGTGACGGAGCACAACTCTGAGCCGGGGGGGGTGATCGGTCAAAGAGGAAGATCTTCAGGCGTGACCTGAAGATGGGAACGGAAGGAGGGGCGAGGCAGGAGGAGTGAGGGAAGTGCTCCTGAGTTTCGGGGCGCAGTGACTGACTATCCATGAGGGGGACAGGATAAAGCAGAAGTCAGTGGGGTCTCCTCAGAGTTAACATGGCCCCAACGTGACATGTCTGGCAATGGAGTGTGGAAATCCAGCCAGGCCTCTGGGACTGTCTCTAGTCTGGTTCCTGAGCCAGGTGGGTCCTCAGTATTCCAGGTCACTCACTGCTGATAACAGCACAGCCCGGCCTGGATCATCAACAGGACATGGAAGGGCCAACCAGTCATCGGGGACAGGGAATCCTCCTACACAATTCCTGTTAACCCTACGAGCCAAAGCCCTATCTAACGGGGAGGGTGATCCTAAGCTGGACAAGCAGCGGGAAAGCTTAGCCAGACAGCGATAACAATGGCAAGTTGTGCGGTTGTAGTTGGTTAACCAGCAAATCCCGAAGTCAACAACACATGAGCAATTCCAGCCACTCGATCGCTTCCTCTCTCTCGCACTCCCCCAAGCACCAGTGAAGGAGGGATGGGGACAAGGGGGCAAAGAGTGTAATTTGCCACAAGCCCTCACTACCCCTGACACCACCATCCTCTGGTGTCGATGACAACAGTGGGTTCATCCATTCCACCTCTGTGTGTGTGTGTGTCTGTGTGCCTGTCTGTGTTTCTCTGTGTGTCTGCTTGTCTGTGTGTGTGTCTGTGAATGTGTATCTATTTGTCAGTGTGTGTCTCTGCCTGACTGTATGTTGCCTGTGCCTGCCTGTCTGTGTGTGTCTGCCTGTCTGTGTGTATGTTGCCTGTGTCTGCCTGTCTGTGTGTGTGTGTCTGCCTGTCTGTGTGTGTCTGCCTGTCTGTGTGTGTCTGCCTGTCTGTGTGTGTGTCTGCCTGTCTGTGTGTGTCTGCCTGTCTGTGTGTGTGTGTGTGCCTGTGTCTGTGTGCCTGTGTGTCTCTCAGCCAGCACACCCTGTGGTTACCATTCTCCTTGACACGACCACAGGCTTCACACTGTCTGTCTGTCTGGCTCTGTGTGTATCTGTGGGGCGGGCGCCCAGCGATCAGTCTGCTCAGCTCCTTCAGGCCACTGAATGCGACAGACAGGGGTGTGAGGGGGGAGGGAGGGGGTTGGTGGGGAGGCTACAGAGGGTCTTTGTCGTGGTGAAGAGCAGCGAGACACACGTCAGCTCACCCCCCGCCCCCCCCAACCGCGAGCTGCACCGCGCTCCAGGCCTTACCTCGGTCGCCGCTCTCACCCCTTATCCCAGGGAGGACGGAATATCAGCTTGGCCATCGAGAGAGGAAATAAACACTCCCCACGTACCTCTCTCACACACACATACACTCCCCACGTACTTCACACACACTCGCTCCGTACCTCACACGCACACATACTCCCCACGTACCTCTCACACACACACTCCCCACGTACCTCACACACACTCCCCACGTACCTCATACACAAACACATTCCCCAAGTGGACCTCACACATTCACACACTCCCCAAGTTGCCTTCGTTCCTCCGGGTCTGGCCTCCTCCTTGTCCCCCGAGTCCTCCTCTCCACCCTCGGCGGCCGTGCTTGCAGCCACTATGCCCCGAGGCTCTGGAACTCCCTTCCTCACAGCCTTCGCCTCGCCCCCTCTCTTCCTCTTTTCAGATTTCTGCTGAACCGCCCTTTTCTTTTCAACCGTGCCTTTGGTCACCTACCACCCCCTCCCCCCGGCTCGGCCCCGGGATCCGTCACTGTGAAGCTCTGAGACTCCGTCCGGCGTGGAGGGCGCTATATAAATCCAAGTTGTTGTTCCTCACACACACACACACACATTCCCCAAGTGGACCTCACACACACTCCCCAAGTATACCTCACACACACACGCTTCCCGCATACCTCACACGTACTCCCCAGGTGGACTTTACACACACACACACTTCACAAGTGTACCTCACACAGACACACTACCAACATACCAAAAACACACAGACACATTCCCCATGTGTACCACACATACATACAGAAACAATAACAACAACATTACATTTGTAAAGCGCCTTTTATATCTGGAGGCATAAGGCATACACACAGACACACACATACATACCCCATGTGAACCACACATACATACAGACACACAGGCATAAACACACACAAACATACACAGGCATAAATACACATTCCCCATGGCTATCATCCACACTCCCCACATAGCATATGCACAGATTACCCCCCACAATGCCCCTCCAGCGCCAAATAATATTAATAATAATCCTTGCATTTGATACAGCGCCTTATCACGTCTTCAAGACGTCTCAAAGCGCTTCACAGAATACACTGTAAAATGTGGCGACTATGTATTTTGTGGACGAAACGCAGCAGCCAATTGCGCCCAGCGATGTCCCCACAAACAGCTGTGGATTGAGTGACCAACTTATTTTTTTTATTACCCCCGGAAAACGATCAGCCAATTGAGTAACAACTGGGTTCCTACTTACTGCTGGGCAAACAGAGGCGTGTGTTTGTGAAGTAAGGACAATTGCCTAACATTTCACCCTGACCCGCCTGGGAATCGAACCCCAGGTCCTCTCGCTTGCGAGGCGAGCGCTCTAACCACTTAAAACTACAGGACTCCACTGAAGATCAGAACATAGGAACAAGAGGAGACCATTTAGCCACTCGAGCCGGTTCCACCATTCTATTAGATCATGGCTGATCTGTACCTCAACTCCAATTACCCCATATCATAGTGTGCGAGGGAGTGAGCGAGTGTACGAGTGAGTGAACGAGCGAACGACTGTGCGATCGAGTGAGTGAGCGAGTGTGTGAACGAGAGAGTGACTGAGCGAGAGGCAGAGTCAGTGAGCTAGTGAGTGAGTAACTGAGTCAGTGATCGAGTGAGCGTGCGAATGAGTGAGTGAGTGAGTGAGTGAGCGAGCTAACGAGCGAGCGCCCCTCACCTGGGGTCAGTAGGCTGAGTACTGTGTCTCCACGTAGGTGTCAGTGGGGGTGGAGGTTGAGGTTGAAGCTGCGGTGACACTGGGAGTGCTGTAGGCTGTGCTGTAGGAGGTGTTGTAGCCTGTGCTATAGGCTGCACTGTAGGAGGCGTTGTACGAGGCCGTGTAGGAGGCTGTGTAGGAGGCTGCCAGGGGAGCCCCAGTCTCGTAGCCGTAGCTGCTGCTGTAGGAGGCCATGGCAGCCGAGCGGCGGAGGGGGCTGCGATCCCGGCTGTAGTAAGGCTGCGTCTGAGCCAACGTATCGCGGTCATAGGGGTCCAGGGCCTTGCCCATGCGGTCTCTCATGGTGCTGCTGTAGGAGGCTAGCGGGGTGGCCCAGGGGTCCGGGTAGGGGATGCCCACGGCTCCGTAAGCCCCTGCCCGGTACTTCTCGTAGTAATCAACAACCCCATAGCGCGGGGCCATCGAGTAGGGATCCAGGTACTCGGGGTAACCCACGTCCTCCGCCCGCCGGTCAGTGGGACATTCCTTAGACCAGTGGCCGTCCTTCCCGCACCGGAAACATGTGTTCTTCTCTCCCATCCCCGGCTGCACCCTCAGCCGGCTCTTAGACAACTCCACGTGCATCCGCTTCCCTGAGAGACAGATAAGAGAGAGAGAAATAATAATAATAACTTTCATTTGACATAGCCCCTTATCACATTGTTGCGACGTCTCAGAGCGCTTCACAGGATACACTGTAAAGTGTAGTGACTATGTATACTATGGGAGAAACATGGCAGCCAACTGCGCACAGCAACGTCCCACAAACAGTCGTGGGTTGAGTGATCACACTATTATTATTATTATTTTGAAGGGATTATTACTCCCGAAAACGATTCGACAATTGACTAACAAGCGGGTTCCTACTTTCTGCTGATAAACAGAGGCGTGGGTGTGTATGTCTGTGTGTGGAGTTAGGAAACTTGCCCAACGGTTTGTCTGAACTGACTGGGAATCGAACCCAGGTCCTTTGACTTGCGAGGCGAACGCTCTAACCACTGAGCTACCGGATTCCACAGAGGGGGGGAGAGAGAAACACAGGTAACGACAGCACTGCTGACAATCCCTATGGCTGCCCGATTATTATAATCCTCACATTCCACACAGCGCCTTGCTCCGCTGGTCTTCGCAAGATTTTTCACTAAACGCTTCAGCTGAT